CATGATCAGGGGGCAGCAGGGCAGGCCCTACGAGGAGAGGCTACAGGACCTGAACCTGTTCAGCCTCCACAAGAAAAGGCTGAGGGGGACCTGGCGGCCATCTATAAACTGGCCAAGGGAGACCATCAGGCAATGGGAGAGTCCCTGTTCCCTGAGCACAACCAGGAGTAACAAGGAATAACAGCCACAAGTTGATGAAGGGTAGATTCAGACTAGACATCAGCAGATGCTACTTCACTGTCAGGGCGGCTAGGATCTGAAACCAACTTCCAAGGGAAGTGGTGCTGGCTCCTGCCCCGGAGGTCTACAAAAGGAGGCTTGATAACCACCTAGCCAGGGTCGTTTGACCCCAGCATCCTTTCCTGCCCAGGGCAGGAGTTGGACTTGGTGATCTGCTCAGGTTCCTTCTGACCCGACCAACTATGAGACTATGAGACTATGAATGCAGCCTCTCGGAGCTGGGAGGAGAAATCTGCTCTGCTCCCTGCTGCACCTGCTCCAGGGTGGACACCTGGGTTTGTCATGGCGGGGTCAGGCACGCCGGTCTGCAGTGGGCAGCTGCTTTCATTGCCCCTTTTGCTGCAGATGGTGCTGGACCTCATGTGTGGCTCTGTCCTTGGAGAGCTTTTTGCATGGGGCTATCGCTGTTTCCACATTGTGATTCCCATCTGCTGCTCCGGCTGACATTCGGGGCAGCTTTGCAGGGAAGCAGCGGGCAGCTCTTGAGAGGCCTCCCCGAGACGTGTGGAGGGTATTTGGGATGAAGACATGTTTTCCTGGGGAGGTTTCTTCCCCCCTTCCTGCTTGCCTCTCCCTGAGCACAAAACAGTTCAATCAGGCTGGTGCAGGTCTGTGAAGGGAAAGACCTTACCTAAGCTGCAATGGGTGCATACGTGCATGCATCTGTGTGTGCATGTGGGCAGTTGTCATGCTAGTCCCTGCCAAAATGGTACCCTCCTGTATCAGAGGCTCCAGCATGGGAAGGCCGAATTAGCCAGCAAGCCGTCCTCCCTTGACCGCCCATTCCCGGTCCCTTTGGGATCACAGGGCTGTGACTCCCATAGAAAGGCTCCAGCCTGGCCCGGCTGAGCTAAACATCCCTTGAGCTCTTCCTGCTTTCAGCTTCCAAGCCTGAAATAAACCTGCTTCTTGAAGCCGGGAGTAATTAAGAGCCATGTTGTACTGTGTAGGATCCATGAGCATCTCACCGGTGATATTTCCCAACAACCTCCTCATCCCCGTGGCTCCGGGAGACACAGGGACACAGAAGAACGGGCTTTCCCTCTGTGTGGAAAAGGCCAGAGCAGGAACATTAATATCCTTGATGTCCCCTTTTTGGTGACTCCTTCCCTTACAATGACCATGGGTCCCACCAGGCTCGGGGCCTGCTCGCAGTGCCCACTCCACGTGGTTGCATTGAGCCACTGCCAGGGGAAAGGGGCCAGCATCAGACAAGCCCAGAGGCAGGTGAATGCAGGTTGCAGAGGTCCTGGTGGCTTTCCCAGAGGCTCCTCTGGTTCTGGGTGGGAGGCAGGGCTAGGGGCGTTTTTGCACTGAGCTATCTGTCCCCGTGCTAACCGCAGAGGATGCAACTGCGTGGAGCTGGTGGCTGGTCAAAGGGACCTGTTGTCTGTGCCAGCCAGAGAGGACAGGCTTGTCCTAGCCCTCAACAGAGCCCCAGCTTGGGGGAACAAGAGAAGGCTGTTCAGACTCGAGGAAGCTCAGACTCGAGGCTGCTCCCTTCTCAGTGCTTTGCCTTTCTGGGCAGAAGATGGCAGCAAAGTCAGGGTAAGCCAGGCGTGCCACCTCCGCTCCTATACCCGTCTGTCTCCTTCTCCTTCCCTTTAAGGTGGATCCCAGCAGAGTGCACCGGCTTTGCAAGAGAAGGCTCTGCTGGGCCCCCTACCACATCCTGATTCCAGAGGGGACATGCCTGGGCTCTGTGCTGCCCTCCCAGGACCCCCCCACCATTGCAGAGGCAGCATGCAGGACCTCCCCCACTGAAGTCCTGGAGCACGGGAGCAACCCTCTGCGACCCAGAGTTTCCCCTTTTCCTGACAAGCCCCCCAGAGAGTAGCTTGCCCCATCAGGACAGAGACCCCAGGGTCCCCCAGCACCTGCACCCTCTGCCAAAGTCCCAGTGCCAGGGGCTGGGGCTGGAGTCCTATCTACACTAGGGTCCCGGGGAGCTGCACGGTGGGCTGAGGCTGTGGGAAATTCTCCCTTCTGCAGACACAGCCTCTCTGTCCTCTCCCCCCACCTCTCCTGGAGCTCGGCGTTATCTCTGCCGCATTGTAAGGTGGGGGAGCCGGTGTCCCGCCCCGCCTGAGCAGGCCGAGATGCAGCAACCAGCCGGGGCTGCCCTCCCTTGATTACACACAGGCTTGCTGCAGAGCCAGTTTTATCATGGGCCAAGCGCTGCTGGCTCCTTCGCTGCCTTTGTCGCTGTCCCCCCGTGGAGTCCGGAGCCGAGGCGGGCGCTGCGCTATCTCCCCTTGTCATGTGAGCAGAACTATTTGGGACCAGGCTATCGCACCAGCCGCACAGAGCAGCAGGCCAGGTGGCTGGCCTCGACCCAAGGGCTGGAGCGTGTGCTCAGCCCTGGTTCGGGCTGGGGGAGGGGGAAATGCTCCATCCTGACCCGCCTGGTTCGGGCTGGGGGAGGGGGAAATGCTAAATCCTGACCTGCTTCAGCTGCATCACCCTCTTCCAAGCTGCCCTGATGCGTTCCCAAGAGCCAGAAGCAGGCCCTGAGCCTGCCAGAAACCCTTGATGGCATCTCTGTCCAGGCCTGGAGAGAGGTCATGGCCCTCCCCGCAATCCCTTCCCTAGGCGAGTCACTCAACCGGGCTGTGCCTCAGTTTCCCCAGCTGTTGAGTGGGGCTACCTCTGCCTCTTGTGCAAGGCGTTTTGCAGGCAGGAGCACCCGCGTGTGCAGGGAGGCTCCCAGGAGGGACGGCACCGCAGGCTTGCTAGCTATTAGGGCAGGCGTCTGGCCGGGATCCATCTCTCATGCCTTGGTCTCTGCGACTTGTCTCCATGGTGACTCAGCACCATTTGGGAAGCCGCGGAGCAGCTCCTCTCCCATCGGGGCCCTGGGCTGGCCCCTTGGCAGTGATGTAGGGACGGCCTAGGTGGATGCAGGACTGCAGGGCAAGGGGGTGGCTGAGCAAGCAGAGCAGAGAGACGGTGAGCCCCAACACTGCGCAGAAGGAGGTTCAAACCCACCAAGGGGGTTGTGCAGGCAGGGAGGTTACCCACTGGCATCCCAGTATACCAGTACCACTCCTTGCTGCTGCCCAGTGCCCTATGAGCCCTTTCCTATTTTCTAGCTCAGCTTGTGGCACTGTGAAAGCCATGTCGGCCAGACCAGAGAAAGGCCCCGCTGGTCCCAAATAGGAGCATGTGTTGCACCAGGAACACACATTGTACTGGGGGAATTTAAGGTGGGTGTTGGGAAGTCCTAACCATGAGGGTGGGTCAGGCCTGGACCCAGTTCCAGAGCAAGGGGGTGGCATCTCCACCCTGGGTTCGGAGAAGGGTGCACAGACACTTGGATGGGGGAAATCCTGCCTTGCATATGGGCTGGCCTAGGTTTCCCAGCCCTCTCTGGGAGTCTATGGGAGCATCCACACAGGCAGCAGGACCCCAATGACCCTGGAGGTATAATCACACCTGCTGATGACTCTCCCTGAGCAGATCTGCCGCTCTGAAAATGCACTCATTTCTCTTGGCACCTTGCAAATAGTCAGGGGGGATCAGGACATAATCACTGTGAAACTCTGAACCTTAATAGCTGCAAACCTCCAGCCCTATAGTAGGGAGCAAAGGGAAGCTACTGGCTGTCCCGGCTTTCCAGCAATCACCAAGATGAGCCGTGAAACGGCAGCACCAAGAGGCATCATTGGGGAAGGGTGGGGAATGCTACAGCGGTGTTACACCAGGGGCATTTGGTCCATCTGGGTGCAGTGCCAGGGACATGCAAGGAGGGGAGAAGGGATCGTAGCTAAAGGGCCCGGGGAAGCTGACTCTTCCCTTCTTCTGAAGCTCCATCGAACAACGCGATCCCCCCCGCAGCTTTGTGCGGCCAGTCTGAGGCATCGGCCACCTCCTGCGTTATTGATGGCAATAATATCTTTGCTGCCACATGCTTGCAGGCACCGGGGGCCTCATTAATGAACTAAATGGCGAAATTTATGATGGGAGGCAAATAGAGGGCCAGGGCGGGGGCACTCATCATATCACAGCACTGCCCAGGATGCTGTGCGAGTCTGTGGGGGGGCCTGCCTAACACCCCCACAAAGCCGCTGATCTCGGGAGCGGGGATGTGCTGGTCCAGGGAGCTGACGTGGGTTCTAAATGGCGAAATTTATGATGGGAGGCAAATAGAGGGCCAGGGCGGGGGCACTCATCATATCACAGCACTGCCCAGGATGCTGTGCGAGTCTGTGGGGGGGCCTGCCTAACACCCCACAAAGCCGCTGATCTCAGGAGCGGGGATGTTCTGGTCCAGGGAGCTGGCGTGGGTTCTGGCAACGGGGCACGGGCAGGGCAGTCTTTTGCAGCGGGCAGATGGGCAATGGGCAGAGTCCACCGCCGCGGCCTTGTATTCTAGGGGCAGGTGCAAGTAGACTGGGATGGAAGTGCAGAGACCAGGGTTGGCCTCCCCGCGCTGGGCTGCGTCGCCTGGGTTGGAAAAGTTTGAAACTGGCAGATCCCAGGAGGGATCCCCGACCGCCGTCAGAGAGAGAGTGTCGTGACAAGGGCTCAGGCCAGCTGTGCTCAGGGCTGAGCTGAGCTCACGGGGGATGTGGGTGCAGAATAGCCATGTCCAGCCTGTTCCAAGTGTTGGGGTAACCGGCGTGTCCCCGGCACAGCTCGCGCTGCCAGCTCTCAGCACCATGGAAAAACGGGCTCTGGGGCAGTGTCTTCCAGTCCCAGGACTCGCTATCTTCCACTGTGGGTAGCCCAGGAGACAGGCAAATCCAGCCTGATCCCTGCCCTGCAATCTTACATACACTTGTGGCAATGCTGTGGCTCACACGAAATCCACTGCAGACTTCTGCAATCTTACATACACTTGTGGCAATGCTGCGGCTCACACAAAATCCACAGCAGACTCCAGGGCTCCACCCAGCCCTGGACGCTCAGATCATTTCCCTCCATGAACAGACAAATCTAGAGGCTCCAGACCCCGCAACATCCAGCCAGGCTCTTGCAGGAAACACTGCATCACATGGCTGTCTCCCTGCCAAGCACCAGTGGATGCTCCTGAACGCTTGAAAGGGAGCAAGAAAACATTAAAAAGCAAAAGCCCCATCCCTGGTGTCTAAACAACTCTGCTTCACGTAGTCTGGGCAGAACAGCAGTGAAAGCCTTCTGCCAGGCATCTTAGAAGAGCTCCTCTGTGCTGCAACGTGCATAAGGCTCTCTGTGGGCAGATTGAAACCCAAGATCCCTGGCTGCAGGGCCTGGGTGCGGTGCAGTCTCCATCGCCGGTAGCAGAAGAGGCAGAGCTCCGGAGAAAAGCAGAGACCGCACCAGGCTGTTGGCCGGCCCTGAAGAGAAAGGAAAGGCAGGATTTCCACCCAGCCAACAGGTGCATCTTCTTGCTTCCAACCGCAAGGAAATGCCGCATCTGGCACCTGCCCTGATACAAAGCTGCTCGCAGCAAATGAGACATCCCAAAATACCTTCCAGGAAACTCGTCTCCTGGAAAAGCATGCGTCTGCAGGGGATTCTGTGTGCGTGGGAGGCCTGAGTGGGAGTAGCAATTGCTTTTGAGCTCCTCTGTCTGTTCCATTAGGAGGTGTGCGCAGAGACAGCTCAGGAGATGCTCCAAGCCTTGATCTGCCTGTGTCTGTGTCTCCGGCGGAGCTGTAATGCCCTAGATTGCACCGGTGGGTGGATTCTCTTCCCTAGCTGTGTGGCTTCTCTTTCACAGCTGAAGAAACCCTTCCCCAGGAGGTCTGAGAGCCAAACCCACATTGCTGCTGCTCCAGCCAGCTCTGTATAGGACCGCTGCAAAATAAATCAGTCCTCACCGCCCAGCCGGGCACTGACTGTTGGACGAGAATAGCCTCAAAGTGCTCTTCATACACAACCGTTCTCCAGTCTTTATAGGAAGAGAGTTGATGAGCTAAAAGGCAGATGCATTTAACCTCTTTTGTGCCCTGGAGAACACGTGCCCAGTGAACACGGTGTGCCCCTGAGTCAGGCTGAGGATGGGGGTGCCAAAGGACACAAGGATTTACTAACATGGTCGGTGTCGTGACAAAAGCACCACGTGCAAAGTCTGTTGCAGTTTGGTGTGTCTGTGCGTGATGGAGAATAGCGTGCTCATCCTCAGGTCTCCGAGCAGGTAAGTGTGACAATCCCCATCGTACTGCTAAAGTGAAGGGAGATGAAGGGACTTGTCCAAGGGGATCCTGCAGGTCAGTGGCAGAGCCAGGACTGGGCTGCAGGGCTCCTGGGTCCCAGTTCACTGCTGTCTGCCAGGCCACAGTGCAAGATGGGCCTTAAGACTGGGTGCACCCACAGCTGACAAAGGTTGTGGGCTGTATCCTGCACCTGACACCAGTGTTTAGGCCTCTGGTCATGTCTTGAGTGTTTACACCATCCCTGATCCCCTTAGCCCTGCACAGCTGTCTCTCCCGGCCTGGTACAGACCCCCTCACCCATCCTTCATTGAGTCGATTCGGACCCCCACAGCCAACTTTAGGTCAAAAATAAAACTTTTATGGCTAAAACACTCTCTGTGTATCTGAAGCACCCCTGTCCCTCCCAACAAAGGGAATGCAGCTCCTCAATACTAGCACCAGAGCAGTTGTTCCCTCCGCAGCAGCCTCCACCAGATAAACCGATGACAACTTTGCTGGTTGCTTAATATACATCACTAAAAATAACATCCCTGTATTAGAGCGTGGGCATCTCCAGCTTTGAAAAGCAACTTCCCGGCCTTGGCTGGGGGTGTAGGCGGCTACCAGAGACGACGGTCCTGTGACGGTGCTCATTTCCACCGGCACCACTCCGAAACCAGAGGAAGCCCTTGATGTCCCACAAGCCTCATCTTTGTCCCTCGGAGATGCTCAGTGCTGAGTTTGCTGTCGGGTGCCGGCACGTGTGGGAGAAGCGCAGAGACAGAGAGGTGAAGAGGTCTCCTCCTGTTCTCTGTAGTGTCAAGGATAATAATGAAAACACAGGCAGGGCCCCTTCGTGCCTGCACGTGGCTTTATCTTCATCAGCCCTCCTGAAAGCTGAGTCAGGCTTGCTCCCAGGGGGATTGCAGCTGCATGGAGGTTGGCTTGCTACGGGCTGCTTCACCTCTTGAAGCGGTGGAAGGGCACACCGCGTAGTCAGGGGGCTGACGCGTGGTTGGAAAGCCCCGGGGTTGTGCTTCTCAGGCTACTGGTTTTGCTGTGCCTTGAACGCGGTGCCCATTTCCAGAAAGCAGCAGCAACACTTAAAAGCATTCGCTAAGCTATGCCTGGCGGCTGCTTCCACCTGCGGATACAGGCTGGATGCTGTTGGATTGGGGAGCATCAGCCTATAGCTGGGGGGATCCCTGCAGTTTTCAGGGGCTGGGTCACTATTTTACACCCATGTGCTGCTCTTACTAAACACTCCTGCTCTGATTGGCATGAATGAGGGGACCTGGAAAGCCAGAAAGCAGCCCCAAGGTTTGATAGGGAGATGCAGGGTGGCCCACAGCACTCCCTGGGAGACAGGAGGGTCTGGGGGACCAGGCACCAACTTTGAATTGGAAAGAGGCTTTGAAATCCCTGCAGTGCCATAGGCCTCCTGCATGACCTTGGCTAAAGCACTTGGCTCTCCGTGCCTCGGTTTCCCATCTGTAAAGGAGGCATAATAGCCCTGCTCTCCCTGGCAGGGGAGGTGTGAGAGAACCTCTGCTGCACCCCGTAAAGGGCTCAGAGACGGTGGTGGCAGGCGGTGTGAGAGATCTCTGTAACCCTCACTATGAAAGATGCAGCATTAGTTGGTTTACCTGGTTAACTCTGTGCCACTTGTTACCAGCCTCAGGGGCTGGGAGCAGGGCACAGGCAATTAGTTTGTGCACGCAGCAGTGTGCCACTGAAGTCCAGAGCGCTTGCATTTCAGGGCCCTTGCAGAGCCCATGGGCCTGGCTTTCCTCTCTGACGTGTCCCTGAGGAGCTGAACCACAGGCCACATCAGTGCTGGGACTCTGGGAAAGGCAGCTGTTGTTTCCAAAGTGCCTGGGCTGTAAGCGCTGCTCTGACAGCCTTAGCCTGGTAGGAGCAGGTGACAGCCAGAGCTGCTGGGCCCAGGCAGGGTGTTGCAGAGGCCAAGGGCAGAGCCAGTGCAGCAGCCTGCTGCAAGTAAGGGGAATTTAAGACCATGCAGAGCCCAAAAGCAATGCACAGGTGAGCATCTAGCAAAGGTGAGCTCTGCCAGGGCAGTGACGGGGCTGCAGAAGTGCCTTTGACAAGGGCTCCTTGCCCAGCCCTGCTTTCCCCCCACCCCATTCCCTGACTTCAGCCCTTACAGCTCTCATCTTCACTTTTTGGTCGCAGTCCTCAGCCAGTGTTCAACCCCAGCCTCCCGTGGGGTGACACTGAACCCGTGATGTCAGCCAGTGGGGTGCCTCCCCCCGTCCCACCCCCTCGAGCATGCAGCTTTAGGCAGACCCCAGCATAGCTTTTGGAGACGGCTATCTATGCTCAGTATGTAGGGCCCCCCCGGGAGTGAAGGCAGACTCCGGACAGTCCCCCTGGCTCTCTTGCTGCCGGTGCTGCTCCCCTGCCAGCCCCAGGTCTGGACGTCAGGGTTGTCGGGTGGGGGGAAGGGGTGACACGATGCTGCCAGCCTCTGCAGAGCTCCAGTGCTATCCGGGGTGACCTCATCGGACGATGTATGGACCCCAGCTCTGTCCCCGGCGGTGTTTATGCACAGAGGCATGCTGTTGACAGAGGTCTTTAATCCCCTTTCTGTGTGCCGGAGACTGGGCTGGGACAATAGCCGCCCGCGGCCTGCTGCTGGCACTGCACTTTACTTCATTACCGAAGCCCTTTTACCTCTGACTGGATGCCCAGCTGCTGACGGGGTATTATTACTGTAAGGCTGGGGGTTCGTGAGGCCAGCCGCGATGCTGGCTGGAAGAGGGGGAGTGCCCGGCTAGGATTTGGGGGTGCTGCCCGTGTTGGGGAAAGGCCTCTGAGTGTGTCCCCACTTCCACACTTTGGCTTGGGGCAGGCGGGTGAATCGGCCTCTGTGACCTGATGCATCCCTTGCAGCGGGCTTCCTTGTGCATAGGCATACAGCAGGCTTGAATGATGTGACCAGAGGCACCTTCCTCCATGGTCCTTTGCCTTATCCTGTGCAGTGAATGGTGCAGGGTTGCATGGGCATGGGAGAGCATGGTCTGTGGGACCCCGTACTACATGCCTCACCATGGTTGGGTGAGCTGGGAGTGCAGACAGAGCAGTGTCCTGCTTAAGGTATGCTGGAGAGCTCTATCTCTGCCACTGAAGTCCTCTCGGTGGCTGGGCATGTCCCTTAAAGCACAGAGTTTGCAGCTGGCCCATGGCGGTGCATTCATTGCTCCTCCCTTGGCGCGCAGTGTTAGGCACCTGGAACCCGGCCTGAAGCACCAGCTGCTCCCAGTTGCCCTCAGTGTCCATCGTGGCTGCACTTTGGAACCGTGCAATGAGCTATGTGCTGCTAAGGACTCCATAGGGAATTGAAACCTGGGGCTTTCCAGCAGGCCTTCGGCCTCGAGGCAAGTCAGTGGCTATGAGCGCTAAGGTGCTGCAGCCAGGAATGCTAGGGAAACACCCCAGAGAGGTGCACGCCATGTGCAGTAAAGGCCACAGGCCTCTCTCTGAATGAAGCGAATACAAAGAAATGTCGAGTGAGCCCCAGCCCCTGACAGAAGCAGGAGTCCCAGGGAG